AAAAATTTCTAAGATAGTGAGAGCTATGAAATTTACAAGTTTGTACTTAGCCTGTGCGCGCATGTGTGTGTATATGTTCGTTCATTCCTGAATAATTTTCAGAACAGTCATCTGAATTCAGTGTAGTGGAAGATAACATTCTAGTAAGGTTTTTTTTTTTTTTATGTCTCTCCTTGAACAAAAAAATAATGGTTATAATCAGTTCTTTGGTTACTTCCATTGATTTGGCCAAGCTATCCATTTGATTTGGGAACAAGTAAAGCTTCCAAATTCAACAGTGGTATAGTTTGGAATTCCAGATGTTGAAGAACGAATAATGAGCGGTAGCTTTGTGCAATGCTTTTGATAGATTAATTTAGAAATGGGTTGAGGATGAGATTGATCTCACCAAGCCAAATCATTTCTTCTGTTCTAAGATGTGTGAAAAAAATATATTAAGAGCAGGATCCATCAGTTCTGTAATTTTTCCAATATGCTTCCTACTGAATTCCTAATAATGCAGTATTTCAGACTGCAATCCTTGTGTACCTTTACCTGTGAATAAATCCCACTGAGTTCTCTGGGGTTTACTTAAATCATGTATATGGCTGAACTGTTAATTCCAGTATATTCTAGATTCAGTATACAGTTTAGGTGTTAGTTTTATAAGGTAAATTATCTGAATGGCATTGTCTTTATTTGATGGTTTGTTTGGTAAATTACTTGGTGGAACTATTTATGACTTAGAATTACAGCACTGGAAATGGCTATTCAAATCATCTAGTCCATATTTACACAGTTTGCAGTGATAGGAAAAAGTTTAGAATGAACTGTATTTGATGGGCTGTGGGACTCAAAAATGTCTGAATAATAGTTTATATAATGGATGTATTAGCATACAACTAAATGGGAGGCAGTCAGTCAATTGTACAATTAAAAGTCTTTATAACAGTTTTTGCAGTAGTCTTTGAGCCATTTGGGATAATATTGCCCGAGCACATATTGGGAAACATACAGATCTTTGAATAGATTACTACATAATTGATATATCTGTGTTAGAGTGAATTTTTCATCTTGTGTTATTAAAAGAATACAAAAGATAAGAAAACTCTTTTAATCCAAATTAATTCATCACCTAGTCATGAATATTTCTGAATTTGCAGCCTTATTCTAAGAGAAGGCATGTTTAGATTAGCATCTACAACCTCATAGTTTGCTAAAAAATTTACCTAGAAAGTGTATGTGGGGGGTTGTTCAAAGAAGAACACAGGGGTAGTTTTACAGTATTTTTTTTTATTTTTTTTTAATGAGAATAACATTTAAGCAGTTCACATAACTGAGGTTCTCTGTAAATGGCCTAAGACTGTACATTCCCATGCTGTTTGGGAATTATGGGTGTTTCAATCCTTACATGTTTAAAAGGTTGCCAGATTAGTGACAGCTGGCTTAGTCAGTGGAATCTTTTAACACTTAGGAAATTATTTTATGGTTTTAATTTATACGTTAAGCCAGGTACAGTAGCCATAACATAGCTGTGCTGCGGAAATTGAGATAACCATTAGATGGCGGCAAACCAGTACAAATGCTCTTTGTTACCATCTAGTGGTTATCTGCATTTTGCAGCCCAGCTATGGTGCGCCTGAAGAACAGTTACAATTATGGGATCCTCACTTAACAAATACTATACAGGCTTGTTATGTATTTTTTAAATTTAGGGCTACTCTGTATATATGTGTATTTGTTAAGCCACACAGTTTCTTTCTTCATGCCTAAAAATACATTTAGGAAGATTTGATCTCATAATACATATGTGAGCATATCGCTCTGTGTTTATCTAGAGCAGTGTTTCTCAATCTTGTCAACTTTAAGATGTGTGGACTTCAACTCCCAGAATTCCCTAGCAATGGCATGCCCCCAGGGCATACTGGCTGGGGAATTCTGGGAGTTGAAGTCCACACATCTTAAAGTTGTCAAGGTTGAGAAACACTGATCTAGAGTGTGTTTCACATGCCTGAATTCCTCTTTGCAGAGTTCATGGCAAAATTATTATGTCAAATCTGAGGAACTTGTTTATTAACATATTTGAGTTTTGGGATTAATTTTTGTTTACAGATAATTTCATAAACACTAGCCTCTCTTCATTACTGATCTCTGTTTTAGGGTAACATTAGGGTAATACTGGATGAAACTGATTTTTTGTGGTAGAAATTAGTTTCTTCTAGGTTTATATACTTTCAGTGGCTGATCTGGAAGAGTCAGGGCATTTCTGTCTAAATAGGAATTGAAACAATTGCGGGAGGAAGTAAATTTTAGTTTCAGAATACATGCCTGGTTCAAGCCAAAAGTTTTCATCTGATGATTCCATGTAATGGGTAGATAATACTATTTAGCTTTTGAGTAGTTATAGCAGGTGTTGAGACAACAACATACTATACGTTTTCCTCCAAGAATACAAACTATGTGACTGTTTTTAAAAATGAAAAACTAGAAAAAGAAAAAAAAACCCTTTATAGTAGTAACTAAGTGACCAACAAATCAAAAAATGAAAAGAATTGGCCATCAAAGTATTGCTGTATAATAAATGCTACTTAAGTGTTACAGATCTCTCCTCATACAAAAGTTTTTATTTTTTATTTATGTAATTTATATGGCTGCCCAGCTCACAAATTGCAGCTCTGCGCAACTGATGTAGGATTAAAACATGAAAAGAATAAGTAGTGGGCATAAAAATTGCAAATGCAAAAGAGATTTCCCCAACTTATATTACTTGGTTTTGAATAAACATTAGGATCAGACTGCAAAACCTAAAACACTTCTGGTCTGGTAACAGCTTCCACACATGCTTAGCAGTGGGCAGCACTTTTACAACAAAATAGGTTGCCTTCACAAAGTGATACTAAACAGGAAAATTTTTGAGGAATCACAGGCACCATGAGGATACATCCCATTCATCCCTGAATTCTCACCTTCCCTGCTTGCTTATCTTTTCTCCAAGGGAAGTGAGGCATTGTATTGAACTGGGCACAGACTTTCTGTCCTGAGCTTTTAGTCTGTTCCCCCATTTCTAAGTCCTGACTAAGTTATCTCAGGTGTCGCATCTGACTCATCACTGAATAGCAGGTTAATAAGTAGTTCAGCTTCTTTTTGCTAGGTTCTGTTGACTCTTTCTGGTCTGGTGACAGGCAATCTTGTGGGAAAGTTTTATGGAGGTCATGCCAGATTATATTTTTCTGTCTTTCCTCACTCCTGCCTTTGCTGTGAAGATACAGTCTTTTTCTGTGAGCAGTGGTGGTTTCTATGACACCTGAACAGGTTGGACCTGTGCAGCTGGTAGGTACATCTCCAGTGGACTTCAGATTCTGTTACGAATCAAAAAGCTGTCCATTGGAGAGAACAGCATTATGTCTCCCCGATCATCTACTTGCCATTCCCCATCAAACCTGCACATTACGTGTGTTTTCCAAATTAGAGTAACATTCTTGAATATGTACTTAAGACCAGTAATTACAATTTGCAGGTTTCTTGCCATTGCTTGTATCCTTGCCTTTTATGAAATCATTTGGGGTTGGAACCAGTATAAACTTCTGATTATGTAGAATGGCTCCTTCCATACGTGGGAGGCTTCTTACTTGAAGCAGGATGGATGACCATGCCTGGAAAGGGATAGAAAGGTGATTTTTGTTAATTCTTTCCTCTTGCTTCTGGGATAGCACAGCTGGAAAAGTAAAGAACATGTTGGCAGATTCTCTTAATATCAGCAGGAGTGTTATGAATGCTTGGGGCTGTTTCCACTGGCAGAATCAAAATTTGATCCGGCAAAACGGCTGTGTTCACACAACATTCTAAGCCATGTTGTTTCCTTTTCATTTAGTGTGCTACATGAATCCAGGTACTGTCATGGCTTAGCATGATGGATTAGTTCAGAAATTATGTCTTATGACCCTAAGTAATGTATGATACTAACATCTCTTCAGTATATTTTAAATTCTGTTCTCCATTGAATTCATCCTAATGATTTTACCTTGAGAAACCTTTGACCCTGTATGGTTTATATAAGCATATTGCATCTTGAGGTTAATGGGAATTCTTCCTCCCCCTCCCCCCAGCACTCAGGGAAATCAGGAATTCCTAACTAGGATTTTAGTTTTCCAGTCAGCACCTTGCTCCTTCCATAATTCTTGGCCCTTTGCTATGTTGGTGGGGAATAAAGACTCAAGGAATCTGGAATATACCAGGCTGAGAAAGACTCTGTCAGCATATAGTTAAATCACATGTGTGCCATCTTAAAGTATCTGTTGCTGGAGAGATGTATAGCTTTGAGGTAAAAATCTACCCCTAACATAGTAATTAAAGTAAATGCTGGCAATGGTCTGTGTCTTACCTTTTACATATTTTCATGGCGTGGGTGGAATTGGTCTTATCAGGATATAATCTTAATGAGGTTAATTTGTGGATACTTGGGTTCCTTGAAATATTTTTAAATTCCTGACTCTAATGTCCTTGTTCCTTTTCCTACTATGATTCAAGGCAGAAACATGTTTTTAAATATGTGTGTCGGTACATAAATCAGCTGCTGTATGCTGGAAAGGTGTGGGAAAAAATCAGACCTGTCTTTTTTTTTTCACCCATTCTCAAACTGCCACTTATGTTGTTACGAAAGTGGGAGGTCTGGTTTGCCAAGATAATCCTGCTGTCTTGAGCAATTATTTTAGACTATGCCAGTTAAGAAATATATATTGGGAAAAATAGGCAGAGGGTGGGTTGTCCTCAGCTCCTGTTTATTTATTTATAAATCAAATCAAATGTATATTATCGCTGTTCGATGTTGCTTAGCATATTCCTATGTTTTGCAGCTAGTTTTTTTTTTTTTTAAACAAATTACAATTTTAAGTCTTGGAAATAAACTCTGTTGAAGTCAGTGGATTTCTGAAGAGATATGTATAAGTAATTGTTACTTTTTAAAACATTTCATATTTTAAGACTTCTTAATCATATATATTTTTTTTAACATTTAGGTGTGGAAGAAAATGTCAGTCAGCATGCATGAGAATCGGAAGTCTAGAGCCAGCACTGGCTCTATAAACATATATTTATTTCACAAATCTTCATATGCTGATAGTGTCCTCACTCATCTGAACCTTCTACGTCAACAACGTCTATTTACAGATGTGCTTCTCCATGCTGGGAACAAGTCATTCCCTTGCCATAGAGCTGTCCTAGCTGCTTGTAGTCGTTATTTTGAAGCCATGTTCAGTGGGGGTCTTAAAGAAAGCCAAGCCAGTGAAGTCAACTTCCACAATTCCATCCATCCAGAGGTTCTAGAACTTCTCCTGGACTATGCTTACTCTTCAAGAGTCATCATCAATGAAGAAAATGCAGAGTCCCTTTTAGAGGCAGGTGATATGTTGGAATTCCAAGACATTAGAGATGCTTGTGCAGAATTCTTAGAGAAGAACCTTCATCATACTAATTGTCTTGGCATGCTGCTTCTGTCAGATGCTCACCAGTGTACTAAACTTTATGAACTGTCTTGGAGGATGTGTCTTAGCAACTTTCAGACCATCAGCAAAAGTGAAGATTTTCTCCAGCTTCCAAAAGACATGGTTGTTCAGCTGCTCTCTAGTGAAGAATTAGAGACTGAAGATGAACGATTAGTTTATGAGTCTGCCATGAACTGGATTAACTATGATCTAAATAAACGCCACTGTTATCTGCCAGAACTATTGCAGACTGTGCGACTGGCTCTTTTGCCAGCCATCTATCTAATGGAAAATGTAGCCACTGAAGAGCTGATCACCAAGCAAAGGAAAAGCAAAGAGATTGTAGAAGAAGCAATCAGGTGCAAATTGAAGATTCTGCAGAATGATGGTGTGGTCACTAGTTTATGTGCTAGACCTCGAAAAACTGGGCATGCCTTATTTCTTCTGGGAGGCCAAACTTTTATGTGTGACAAATTATATCTTGTCGACCAAAAAGCAAAGGAGATCATTCCAAAAGCTGACATCCCAAGTCCAAGGAAAGAGTTCAGTGCGTGTGCCATTGGCTGTAAAGTCTATATTACTGGTGGTCGGGGATCTGAAAATGGAGTCTCTAAAGATGTTTGGGTGTATGATACACTTCATGAAGAATGGTCCAAAGCAGCTCCAATGCTAGTTGCTCGGTTTGGTCATGGTTCTGCTGAACTCAAACACTGTCTATATGTTGTAGGAGGTCACACAGCAGCTACTGGTTGTCTTCCAGCTTCTCCTTCAGTATCCTTAAAACAAGTAGAACAATATGATCCTGTGACTAACAAGTGGACAATGGTTGCCCCACTTCGAGAAGGAGTAAGCAATGCTGCTGTAGTCAGTGCAAAGTTAAAACTATTTGCTTTTGGTGGTACCAGTGTCAGTCATGATAAGCTTCCAAAAGTACAGTGTTATGACCTGAGTGAAAACAGGTGGACTGTACCAGCCACTTGCCCTCAGCCATGGCGATACACAGCTGCAGCTGTTCTGGGCAACCAAATTTTTATTATGGGTGGAGATACTGAATTCTCTGCTTGCTCAGCTTATAAATTCAACAGTGAAACCTATCAGTGGACTAAAGTGGGAGATGTGACAGCTAAGAGAATGAGTTGCCATGCTGTTGCATCTGGAAACAAATTATATGTTGTGGGGGGCTACTTTGGGATCCAGAGATGCAAAACACTAGATTGCTATGACCCCACGCTTGATGCGTGGAACAGCATAACCACAGTGCCCTATTCACTAATTCCAACTGCATTTGTGAGCACATGGAAACATCTCCCTTCTTAACTGCATGTGTGCCTATTCAGGTGAGAAACCACTTATTGCAAATATAAATGTCTAAGTTTACCTTTTTACAAATATAAACTGCAGAAATTCATTTGAGCAAACAGGAAGCAAAACTGGTATGATTCAGCCAGTGCATGAGTAAACATAAAATTGGTTTTATAAGATGCTTTGTTCATATGTAAGAATGATCCCAGTTGCCTCCTGTTAAATAGTGCATGAATTGGTCATCCACAGATATCCCTATCAGTAATTTCTGTATCCATGATTGGTTACTTAATAAGCATATTTATGTAAGATTGTCCTTGAAGGTAATTATGGGTTGTTCACATAGACATAGTCCTTTTTCCCCGTTATCTTGATAGTGCCATTTAGGAGAAAATTTAGTTATTTAAAATTAACTTTAGTTTTCTTACCATATATAAGGCCAAAATCTCTTATGTGATTCTTCTAACAATAACTTTTAGAGTTTGTTGTAATATCCACACTTTTATTTCCATATCAGTAGAAATAAAATATTAGGTTGAAATTAGTGGAACTGATTACTAATAAATATATTTATGAATGCTGGAGCAAGCAAGATCATTGCTGGCTCTGATGTACATATAGGCATCAATTTAAACTGCTTGTATTGTACGGATTACCTTTTGAAAGGACAATGTATATGAAATACTATAAGCTTGTATATTTTGGACTTTATGGAATCAGAACTATTAAGAATTGAAGCCATAAGAATCTGCTTCCCCAGGGTGGGGTGGAGGCAGAAAAGAGGGTTCATGTGTGTGATGGTGAATCATTCTGACCTTACGTTTAAAAGACATGCCATTTGACTCAAATAATAATTGGTTTGCAACTCAGAGTGTTTCAAAGCCCATAAATTAAACTTTAAAGTTTAGTCAGTGGTCCAAATTTGTACCTGACGTGGGCAGGTACAGTGCTGGTGATTTCAGCGGAATGGTATCTGCTTATAAGCAGCTCCGTCTGAACTGGCTCATGCAGGCGCTTATATAGTTTGCCCTCTGATTTTTCATTTTGAAAATGCCAGTAAATCTTCCTTGCAGTATATCCTTTTCTTTAAAAAGTGGCCAGTTATTACTGTAAGATAAGCCTGCCTTTCCACCTCTTTTTTATTCTTCCAGAATTGCAAGAGGTTTGTGGCCTTTAATAAGGAAAGGAGGAATCGTTAAGTTCAGCACGGCATGTTTCCGAGTTAGCATGCCTGGCCTCAGGTGCAAATTTTGCCTTCCTAGAATGCCTGCAGCCCAGTTGTATTCATTGCTAATGGCTGCTTGGGAAGAAAAAAAGCTGAAAGGACTTCAGAACTTCAAACCACATATTAACTAGCAGTATATGTGCTCCAGTGTAAATATTTCAGGAACTGCAGTTTAGACCATGCCTGTAATTTATCCTGTCATCTGGAAGGTTTGTAATGTATCCATAAATCCAGTTGTTGTAAATATTTCTTGGCATTGCTCTCTTCTTGTGAAGTTGAACTTTGGTGGCAAGATGAAAAAGAACTAAGTAGCTCTTGAAATAAAATCAGGATAGTTTTCTTTGTAACAGAGGAAAAACAATGAGGTAACCCACATAGGGACATTGTAAACTGATCTATCAAAATGCAAATACATATATCAGTACAGTTGCAGGACTGCCACCTTAATTCTAAAGAACAGCCACCTTGGATATTTTTACTCTCTATAAACCCATGAAATGTTTTTCTCAGTCAAAGCTTGATCCAGGCATTGTTCAGCTCTTGAATCAAGATTAGAAACTTGGAAGGTCTCCAAATTACTTACCGATGCACAATTGTCATAGAGGGACTTTATTTCTGCAACTGAATTTTTTTGGACTAGTTTGGATTTAGGTATACTTCCAGAGAAATATCTGTAACATCAGTTGTGTCCTTTTGATGAACAGCAAAGTACCTATAACTCTTTAGCATCTCATCATTTATTCCTTCATCAGTACTAGTATTTAATGTTTTTATAGTATCTTAAAGTTTGACATAAGTTGTATTATTTATCTAACAATTAACTTGTAAGGCAGCTGTTCTAGAATTTCCATCTGTCCTGGAATACCATAGATCAGGAAAGGCTACTATAAGGTGGTAGTATTGTTTCTACTGGGTGCATGGACTCAAACTTTTAAAATAAGTTACTTTTTATTAAAGAAAATGCCTAATTTCCATCTTAGATTGGCAGACATTTGAGTTTGAAAATATTTTGCATATTTAATTATAATTTCTTGAATGTTTTAAATAAAATATCAAACTTCTTTAAGTCTGATAATGGCAGAGATAATCATATATCTTCAGATAGTTTCATGTGTAGTAATTTAATGACCATTTATTCTTCCATTTAAGTAGTATTAAAATCCTTAACAGTCATTGGGCTGAGAAGTTACTGATATTTTTTCATTATACCCAGAAATATTGTTATTCTTTTCAAAATGATCATGTATTATATGTCCATATATGAAAGGCTGTCTTTTCAGGACAATCAAGTAACAGGATAAATTTACTCCCAAAGTTGTTTTCTCCCTCCTCCCTAGCTGTTCTGCAGTGTGTTGGTATAACTGAATATACGTAACTGCAGCCTGCAGTCTGGGCTGCACCCAGTGATAGATTTTTTTTAGTGACTCCTGCTGCTCTATCAGTGGGAGGAAAGGACCAGAAGAAAATTGCTTCTGATTGTGCCCCTACCTGACAATACTTAAGAAAAAAAAAAATCTTAAAGCTGCTTTAAGTCTTCCACCAGACTTGCGGGCTTTCTCTAATACCTGCCTATAATCTATATATTATGAGTGGAGCCATTATATCAGTGTTTCTCAACCTTAGCAACTTTAAGATGTGTGGACTTCAACTCCCAGAATCCCCTAGCCAGCATGCTAGCTAGGGAATTCTAGGAGTTGAAATCCACACATCGTAGAGTTGCTAAGGTTGAGAAACACTGCGTTATATGAAGGATAACATGTTTCATACTAGTCTCAGGAGTGTGTAGCTGATTGTCCTTCAGTGAAAATTATTTAAAGAAAATAAGTGGTTCTGGTCTTTAATATGCAGAGATGGCAAGTTATGTCCATAGTGTTATTTTGTAAATTACATGCACACACCTTCTGTGATCCTGTACAGTGCTATTAAGCTATGAAGCACATGCACCTTCAAATCAGTTGCACCAACTTAACCAGCAGATTTTTTACAATTGCACTGCGGAAATCCCATCAAACTTTGCTTCATGCATTCTGGCAGAGCTATTAATTGCTACTTTAAAAACCAGCATGGTGCCTGGTTTGAAAACTGGCTCTGAGCATAATGGAGTGAGAAGGTGGAGTACAGAAGCCAAATGCTGGCATCCAAAGCTAATATTTTGCACTGAATAATTGACATATAGAAAAGGCTTCTGTGGGGAGGCAACGAAGCGTACTGCATTGTTACACGACAAAGCCCCACAAAAGAGAGTTCTGACATAATGAATAGCAGAAATGTTTTAAATAAGGGGATTAATATGTCTGCCTTTCATATTCTGAATCAGTTCTATTCAGGGTCCTCCATGGTTAATAGAACATTGATTAGTGATTCTCTTCTCCAACAGGCCGCCCTTCCTTCTGTTTCTTTGCTACTTGGATTTGGCCCATGACCAAAGTGCCCGTCCTGCTACTATGCTAGCCAGCTTCCATTTTTATGACCGAGACGTTGAATTACGTTATTTTTCTCCTTAACACTCAGCCAACTGTCTGATCATTTACTGAATTGATTTATCACGTTCAGGAAGTGTTCTCTCTGTTGTCCGCCAAATTATTAATGCTATTAATTGAAAGACTTGCTACTTAGAAGAATAAAATGTGATAATTGAGGTTATAGCATCTTATATTTAAGATACATAATGAACAAGCATCTGTTTCATAGACCTTTGAAACATGTATAAACCTTATATTGTTCCATTGAAATGTTTACACTGTTTTTCTTTCTTTTCTTTAGTTTATTACATTGTATGCTGAATAAACCTTGGAACCAACTGCACAGAATGGTTTTAATGAAGAAATTTCTTTTTTGAATTTGAAGATATTCTGCACCTTCTAAATTCTTAAAAGTTGGAAATGAAGGAATGGGAGTGGGAATATTGTTTTCAGTATATCAGCACATGCTTTAACTATGAACGAATGAACCCATGATCTGGTCCTTGTGTTAGTAATTGTGGATTAATGTCAAGTTTAATCCTTTCAAGGCAGGGGGAGGTAAGGGGGGGGGGATGAGCTTTTCAGAGCTGCATAACACAGCACAACCCTCAATTATCATGGACTTTGCTTTTTGTGTGCAAAATTTGAAATGGTTGTCACCTCCCTTTGTGACGATTTGAAGTGTCAACAGCAGCTGCAAAGGAAGCGGACAAGGCCTGGATCAGCAAGACGTACGTCTTTGTGAATGAAGATGCAGCTCTGTGCCTTCCGTGGGGATGAGCTTTGTCCTAGGCAGTGCCAGGAGCATCCATTTAAATTGTTGAGTTGCGTTGGGGCTCTGAATTACTTTCTAAAGAGCAGCAGCTCAGTTATTAAAAAAAAAAAAGTTTTTTTTCAGTATCTGTGGGAGAGAGAATAACTCTTCTTCCCCTAGATACACACTATTTCTTGTATTTATTAATTATGACTGTCCTGCTTCTAGATTGTTACTTGTTGTAGATACAGCTATTTATTGTTCAGTGCCTGCATGCTGAAACAATGCCTGGAGTCATTTTCAAGTTATAAGGGCTTACGGGAATCTTATGTTTTGCACATTCTGTGATCTCTGACTTGCTCTGCTGCACAAGAAAAAGGCTGAATAATATTTGAGAAGAGAATTAGGTAGGGGTCAGAAATGGAAGGATTACAAGGTAGCATCTTAAATTGCATACGTACTGAAGGAAGAAGCCATGGAGGATGTTTTCTCAGGCCACTGACTCCCTAAATTACATGTGTGGCCTGCTGATAGTATTTCTGTTACACTTTATTTGCCTAGTCATGCTTTTTGAATGAAAACATCTAGAAAGAGACACAATAGCTTTTGTAGCTCTCTTTTTGTGCAGCCTCATCACTACTGGAAAGGGGATAGGAGGGAAATTCTACAGAGCTTTTTTTCTCTAGAGTCTTTCAGATTTGTGATATCATCCAGTTTGTTTTTATTTATTTATTTATAGCTGATGGGATGTTTGATGTGCCATTTATGTGACCAGGGGAATTTTTTTTTCTCTTTAAGAGATGTGAAACCTGGGGGAAAGGGTTAGTTTCTGTTTAAATTAACACTAATTTGCTTGGTTTATCTTCTTGGATTAAAATGGTATTAACACACATTCTTCTCCCCCAACTGTTTCTTACAAGTTTAGATATAATAATTAGGATGATCAAATGGGGAGCATGAAGTTGCTAAATTCATTTAATGTATTCTTTTGCATTAATTAGCAAATTGAGCTTTCAGAGGCATAGTAGCTGGAAGTATCATGTAGGATCCTGATCAATTAAAGGATTTTTAAATGTCTTCCATGAACCTTATTTTTTTGGCTTGAATGTAAAAGTAAACCCTCTCATTCCCTCCTGGTGTACTTAACCCATAGTTCCTTTGTCCAACTTTCTAGTTGTGCTTTTCATAAGAATTGGTACAGCCCAAACAATATACTGCTACCAGTCCTCCATTGTGGTTGGTTGTCTTGTCTTAATGTTGTGTAAGCAAACTATTTTGAAATGCATGCATGCATGCTTAAAAAGAGTTATAATGATCATGTCTGCTTACATTTTGATAATGTAGCTCAACTCTGACAGTTTTTATTGTAAGGAACAACACTTTAAGTTGTGTTCATGGCACAATCCTGAACATGTTTACTCATGTAAACTTGGGCTTACTCCCCAGTAAACATGTTTAGGACTGTAACCATCAGCTTTAGAGAACTTTCTCATGTTGCCGTAGGTTTTTTTTCCCTGATTCTCAATATATATATGCATTTCTTATGTGTTATCTTAAGTAAGAAATGAATGTATGTGAAGTTTTTCAAATTGTTAGTTGTGGTTCTTAGCATGGGTAGCAGAGAGGATTGAAAGTCTGAATTATATAACTCATAAACATTGTATTGTGAGCCTCTGTTGATTTACATGTTATTGACCAAAGTCTGATTTTTTTGGGTCAATCTGACCCAAAAAGATTGGCCAGTTGCCTTCATTTAAGAATGACTCTGCTTCTGAACTCTGATTCATATATCCAAGGGTGAAGTGATATGAATGTTCATATCACTGGGGTGTTTAACAGTTAGTACACCACTACGCAAGCTAATACACATAGTACAGTTGCATTAACTTATGGAAGGATAAGAATACAATTTGTTGTTGGTCACTATTTATCCTAGAAGGGCTTGGTAATATTGATAGTTAGGTGGGTTTGCAAAGCAAAGTGGGAAAACTAGAAAAAAGCCATCACCATTAAATTTACAAAAGTACAATAATCAGTTAAGTTTGTATAAAGCCCTGTCTCTGCAAATTCTATCCAAATGTCTCTTAACTTCCATTTGGATTAGAGGTATTTTTACATTCATTTTATATAGGCATTAATGGCTTTTTTTTTTTTTTTTTTGCCTAGAAGGGTCAAAACATTCTTTGTTGTGAGAAGTGACAGAATTCTGTCTGCGTACTTCTCCATGGAATTGTTGAGCTTATAACACAAATCTGTTTTGTAATACCATCCAATTTCCTAAAGTGTCTGAAGTTTTTGCAGTTGCATTTCAAAGCAGTAGCTTGCTTTCAAGTCCTTGGATTTAATTCATGGGTATAGGCAGAAGGGAACTGAAAATCAGGGTGGGCCTCTAGCCCTGCAGGCGAATATTTTGGGCTCTTACTCTTTGAATCGACATGGGAATCTTGATTCGCTACTTGGCGATTTCCAATCTGAAAAATAGCCCACACTTCTGAGACAAATGCAGTTCACATAAGAGTGCACACAAAAACCTTGGCATAAGACGAGAAAGTTCTTCCTATTTTGTGGGCCAGTTGCTGTGGAAACGTTGAACAAAGGACAACCTACCACTTCTGGTATAATTGTGTAGCCCCTTTTCTTTAGGCCTGACACCTGTCTGAATAAGAGTGATTAGAGCTGAATAGTGTCCCTTGTCTGGCAACTGAAGATGCGGTTCACGTACAAAAAAAAGTGAAGAAGTAAAATGTCTATGTTGTCTCTGTATGCTACTACGTTTTGAGGTTTTGTAAAACTGCATTTTTTTCACAATGTGAAACTGAAGGTCAATAAATTATTAGAGATTTTCTCTTAAATAAGCAAGTTCTTCTGAAGTCTTTATTTCCTAACAAAAACAAAACAAATGTTTGGATCAATTTATAAGTCCTGTCTTAATAAAAAGGGCATCTCAAAATCAGTTAAGTCTAAATTGTTTTCTAAATACCTGCTTTGGTTACACTTGGAATGCTCTCCCTTTGTTCCAGTCTGTCACTCTTAACTGTGAACCAGCTTTGAAAGTTCAACAGCTAAAACGACAGGAGCTTTAAGATGATTCTGTGGGCAAGCATTTATAAATCTTCCGCCCTCAGCTCTTGAAGCATGGCTTAAAGACTGATATTTCTTGAGGAGGAAATTATGCAAGTTAAGTCTTGCAGAATTATTCCTGAGGGGTAAAGTGAAAAATAAGTGGTGTCTCCCTTTTCCATGGTAAGTACACATTAATCTAGATTTAGCAAAGCTAAGGATAGATGCGTTGAAATCTATGAAGTGGTTATGGACCAGAGAGAACCAGGTTCTAGCTCCCTGCATAACTTGGGGGGAAAAAATTGTACATAGTATTCTTCCAGTCTTGAGCTCCTAGAAGAAGTATAAGAAATATAACACGCAATTCATTTGCATTTTTAAAATTTTTACATGTATGTATGCATGTATGTATTTTTACAGTACTTACAACCTGCCCCAGTCCTGAAGGACTCTGGGCGGCATATGACATCAAAACAAAAGAAGAAAAATACTGTATACATGTTCAATAACAAAGCTGCAAAAAAGTTTCAGGCAGTACATATGATTATGTATATATATACACACGCACACATCTGGGTTATATATATCTTGTACATTGATCTATAAATAAGCATAAGCTACTATAGCTTTTGCAGCTGTAGCATCTCATAAAGATCATTTTTGTTTTTTTCAGTTCATCCAAGCATGTTTGTTGGGTAAGCATGCAGAAACAAATTTTAATGCAATATGTGAATTTGCTTTTTTGCAGAATTTTTAATCTGCACGTTTGTATACTGGTAAATGTGCATAGGGGATTAAGAGATGAAAGAACAGAAAGCTGAAGTAAACCAAATGAATAGTGCTCTGCAAAGTTTTAGGAATAATTGTTCAATGTTTATTATGAGTTCTTAATATATTACATCAGAAGAGCAGTGGCCAACACTATTCTTTCAAGTGTCCAGTATTCGCTACCCGAGAGATGGTGTAGGAGAAACTGATAGGTAACATGATTCTATTAGCTCATCCATGATGGACAATGTAATCAATGGTATATGATGGTGTGGGGTTATTAGAAGAAGATAAAAGATAAACTAAGTCAAACGCTTCAATCTTGGGACTACATCTCTAGAACAGTGCTCTTTTCTCCATCTACATAAGCCATTAAACACGGCAGTTTTCCACCTTTGAGTAAAATATCTTAGTGACTTTTCAACACATTGCACTGGTATTAAACTAGAAGAATGAAAAACAGTACCCAGAAAAAATTAGTTTGATTTACTAATTTAGCAAGCAGAAATTATGTCACATGAATGATAATCTATGTGACATAACTAGTTCAAACTATGCACATGCATAATATATCTCAGAAGCTAGGTGTGCTGAATGAATTAAATCTTGACGTTCACTATGCAAGCTGCATTTGGACATTATCAGCATCTTTCTTTAATGGAGAGAAAAAAGCAAAGCCAAAGAAGTAATTCTCACTAAAGAAAATCCAATAATAAATGTGTTTAATCAGGTTCCATTCTTCATTCCTAGCACTTTGAAATCTCAGTGTGTTTTGAAGCAATGCTATTAGAGAAAATAAAAAATATGAATGTATGGCAAAAAAATAGGCATTTAACATTTTAAAATAGTTGCATCAAGAAAGCAAATCTTAGAAGTCAAGAACAGAATTTAAATGTTCGGAAGTTTAAAATGATATAATAAGATACAGTGGGGCAAAAAAGTATTTAGTCAGCCACCAATTGTGCAAGTTCTAGGCATTTAACATTTTAAAATAGTTGCATCAAGAAAGCAAATCTTAGAAGTCAAGAACAGAATTTAAATGTTCGGAAGTTTAAAATGATATAATAAGATACAGTGGGGCAAAAAAGTATTTAGTCAGCCACCAATTGTGCAAGTTCTCCCACTTAAAAAGATGAGAGAGGCCTGTAATTTTCATCATAGGTATACTTCAACTATGAGAGACAAAATGAGAAAAAAAATCCAGAAAATCACATTGTCTGATTTTTAAAGAATTTATTTTTTTATAAATATATTTTTAGGACCCTAACCCTAACTCTTAAAAAGCCCAGTATTTAATGCCAGCTTTATATATTTATGATTGTCTTATTACACTTATGAATAATTTGAAAGACATGAGTTCTCATGATACAAACTATTGCAACATGTTATTCTAAATATTTTTCTAGGTTTTTTTTTTTTGCACTTCAGCTCAAGCCTTGAGAACAAAAGCTATCTCTTGTCAAAAGAAGCCAAGGCCATTCATGGAGATAGTGTTCAATAAAGACAACTTTTTCTATGGGGGTACTTATGCTTTCTCCACCCACCAATGGGTCTCAGGACAATGAACAGTTTATACAGATTGCAAATTCTGTCTGTCTCTGCTGTTCCTCAGAGAGGTGAAGATAAATGAGTGTGATTTCTGAAGAACTGGAATGAGTGATGTGTCTTACTTTCAGAGGACACATAAGAAGGGCTGTCCAAGGACAGGCTTCTCTTTGAAGGCATCCTCTATCTAGAGAGCTACCCCATCCATATCCAGTTTAAAGATAAAGAATCTTATGAATGGAGAACAAGTACCTTGAAGTCACCCATCAATAGCACTTGCACAGATTGAGCAGACACACAAATTATCTAGTCATAGTACGCCATATTACCTCGGTAAGATGTTCTGCCTGTCTAATTAAATTGTCTAATTAAATACTTATTTCTAAATTTGTACCAGTAGATATAAATTAGTTCTATCTGGTCCAAAGTTTGTCCTGGTTTTTTTTCATGACAAATTCCCTCTTGAGATTATAGGTATGGATATGCCAAAAAACAGATAAGCATCTATACATATAAATCAGCATAGAAACATTTTATGCAACTGAGATGTTCCTTACAGTAAGCACGGTTTTCTACTCTTACTGATATGACTCACTCATGAAATAACAAACAAACAAACAAACAAACAAATAAATAAATAAATTCTTTTAAATTTAATTTCTTTAAATAATAATCTTAAAAAATGGAAAAGGGACTGCTGAATTTTTAATTCCTTCTGAAAAAACAACTCTAGTTCCCACAAAGAAATGAATGCACAACATAAGAGTTTCCCAAATGATAAATCAAACAGCTAAAGGATGCTTACTCCACAAAAGCTTATATGACTGCCCTATTTATTCTGTCTTTTAAAGTCTCAGTGTGCTTAGGCTTTTCACTTTTGGCTCAGAATACCCTGGAAGTTAGGCTGAAGGTATATTACCAGCCCAATGTTGCACAGAAGGCCCTTCCTTGGCTGATACTGAAAAACTAAGTGGGATCAGCTCCATATAGGGATGGGAAACCAGTAGAACCTGAGTTGCAGGGTAGACAGGGTTGTAAACAACCCCACCTACTGTTGTCAACAGGGGAGTCAAAAAAGTCAAGATAGTGGCCATGACCATAAGATTTAAGCCCTGCCCCTTTTAATGTGTTTACAGAACTGTAGGTTTGCAGAAACATCATACTGCAGTTATTTAGGCATCCCAGTGAATAATAATGATTTGAGTATGACTCCATTTATTATGACTAAGTAGAATCAAGTGTGCCCTCAGAGCTAAGTTTTGGAGTAGCAATCCAGATGTCAGCCTTGTGAGGTAGTCCAGATAAGAAATACACCCAGAAGTTCCAGTTCTAACTTTATTGTAAGGTTACATTAACAGAATCTTGCAAGTCTGAAAGTACATCTCTTCCCCCTCACTTTACAGTCGAAGAAATTAGGGAGGGTCCCTTCTAAGACATTTGCTATGCCAACATTCCTTCCGCGGGCTAAGCTGCCACTTATCTGACTGTTGCCCTGGCTGTGGCTCTTCCCCCTGCCTCCCAAGGTCATTCCCACATCCCATTACACCAGGTCTTTACTCAGAAGAATGAGGAAACCTCCACAAGCAATAATAGGATTGGTTTACCACATTTTGACATGATAAAAGAATATATGTTGCTGTCTAAAAAAAGCATGGTGAAGTGTGTGACGGGTAGGAGATGTAACAGGGCCATTTAGTTCATAAATTTAATTGCATCTAGCATGGGATACCATTTTGAGAATATATGTTTATGCCTATATTGCTGCCTCTTACAGAATGTCATATAATTAGTTTTATAGGCAGATATTTGATCTTGCTAAAAAGCACAGACTTCTGTTGTCAGTATTGTGACCATAGCATTTGGAAAATGGGTCTATTTGAATTTCTGCAAGGTAGAAACGCACAGCTCTGCTTATTTTTTAGACAGTTGTATCTGTGGAGTCCTTGGGCTTCTCTGAGCTTGGTTCTTTCTTGCAAATGTTTCATTACCTGGCTAGGTAAGATCTTCAGTGCTAAAATGAGATACCATTTTAGCACTGAAGATGTTACCTAGCCGGGTAATGAAATATTTGCAAGAAAAGAACCAAGCTCAGAGAACCCCAAGGACTCCACAGTTCAACCCTGAGCTATACATATTCGCCTCTATTGGTACAATTGTATCTACTTTGGGAGTTCTCCACGTTTCTGTTTCATTACCTGGCTAGGTAAGATCTTCAGTGCTAAAATGAGATACCATTTTAGCACTGAAGATGTTACCTAGCCGGGTAATGAAATATTTGCAAGAAAAGAACCAAGCTCAGAGAACCCCAAGGACTCCACAGTTCAACCCTGAGCTATACATATTCGCCTCTATTGGTACAATTGTATCTACTTTGGGAGTTCTCCACGTTTCTAACCATTCCCATTGTAGTGAGGCAAATCCTATTTTTGGGTCTCCTATCTCCCCTTCTCTAGCCCTGCTCCAACCCTTTTCCTAGCCACGT